CTGTTTATTCTAAGTGGTTGCTGCAGTTAAATAATATGCTGCTTTAAATGCTTGACCTCTTTATTGCTTTTATTGTTCAGTAATAGAGAAATCAGTCATAGTTGTGGCAATTAAAATTTTATATATATATATATATATATATTTCCTGGTGTAAATGGGTCTTGTCAGAATATCTTTGTCATATATCAATGTGGTCACCAAAAAAGTAAGGTCAAATCAGGAGATTTGTGTAAACTCAGGAAAAATCAGGAGTGCTTTTTTTTTTTTTTTTGCTTCAGTAGGAATTTGTTGCTATTGAAGATACATCCTCATGTGAATGCCTTGGATATTGAGTGTAATGTGTACTCATGTGACCATATACCTTGATTTTTACAACTGTATCTTTATCGTTATCTAAATTGTAATTGTCCTTGGTGTGAATGGGCCTTAACGGTTCCATAAATAAAATGTAGTACCATAAAACCCCCTAAAAATACAAAATATTAAATAAAAAACATTATGAATCTAAAACATTAATTAAAATGAATGTACTGTTTTGGATCAACTTGGAAGGCCTCCTCTGTATATGCATGAAAGTTTATTTTTCTGAAAAATATACTTTTTTTTCTCTCTTCATTTTATTAGAGAAAGTTTTTTTTTTTCTCTTCAGTCGTGAGATTTGTTCATCTTTATGGACAAAATACCATATACAAAAACAGAACTGGGCTAAAGGAAAACCCAACTTTGTATTATTTCAGATAGATATGAAACACATTGAGTTACTAACTTGGGTTGAAAATTGTAAAAAAAAAAAAAAAGGCATTAGGTCTCTATCTAGAGCGCTACGTTAATAGTCATTAAAACATAATTTCTGACAATTGATACCCACTGATCACTAAAACTGCTTTGAAATTATATGCAATGTAAAAACAATAATAAATACATGACTTGAAGAAATCTGTCTCGTTATCTCTTCATAGGCTACTTTCACTGTTCATGCAAATAATTTATTAGTACAGGGTGAAACTACCGGTATTCAGAAATTTTTATTTTTATTTCATCTAGACAAGAGCGTAGGCTATTTCACTAGTTTCTGTATTCGGTGTAAATACAGTGCAGCTGAAATAATAAAGTGTAAATGAGAAGTTAAAGTTAGAAATGCGGCGAGTGTCCAGCAGGAGGCGCCAGAGCTGCTCAAACTCTCACTGAAGACGCTTCCGTTTCTGAGCGAGCGCGGACGTGTGGAGTAACGGAACAACACAATTCAAATCAGCCGAAACTGAATTTATGAATATTTGTATTTATAGCCTCGTGGGCTTCCAGTCAGCAGTTTAATTTACAGCGCCGGACCATTTGTGATTGACCCGCGCGATATGAGGAGTTTGGACACAGTAACGTGTGCTAATATTCAGATACAGATGTTTTAAAAACATTTTTACTTAATATTGTCACTTTCAGTCTGTCAGATTGTGACCCCATATAAAACCAGAGCTTTGTGAACTTGTGTACATGTTACTCTAAACCATTCTCAAGTATTTTGCTGAGTGTAGGTTAGGAATCTCTTAAAAGTAGTGCGTTCTGTTTTTGTATAAATATTCTAGTTGACTTTAATATTTTATTAACTTTAGTTGATCAGTTTTATTAGTCGTTTTCCACGAATATCCCACAGTTTGAATAGGATATTTCACTTTCAGAGGTTGGTATGGTTTGTAATATGGCGTGTAAATCTTCTCTGTAAGTTATTTGTTCCTCTGATTCGAAATGCTGCAGAAAATCCTTCAGCTCTCATCATTTATTTTGGCCAAGGATAATGTTTTGTTAGTTTGTATGATTTTTGTTGTTGTTGTATGGTTTGTAATTATGTTTGGATAAATCTCTGTACACTTCAGGAAGCCAGCAGATCCTCAGACTTAGGCTGTGTTTCTAGACTAAATGTGAAAAAAGTGCTCACTTTATTTCAAGTCACCGCCTGCGTTAGGCTGCACACTGTAAATAGTTTGTTAAAAAGCAATACTTAGATTAGAGCAAATATAAGGAGCATTGTCAATTGTGTTGGCTTTCAGTATTTTCTCTGTGTATGTGGCTAAATCTAGTTAGACTGATAAGATACTGTTGAAGGTAAAAAAAATATTTGAAATGGGACTAAACTAAACACTACCTGTAGATCGATTGCTTTGTTCCGAAACAGGGATTAAAATTATTATTGTGATATAGCCTGGTTCGTTGGTCCGTTAGATCGGATTGCTTTCTCACTACAACCGAACCGCTCCAGAGTTCGTTTTCAATCGAGCCGAGACCACCTCGTTCAGGCGATCTCGGACCGATTGTTTTGGCGCGGATCCGGGCGCGATTGCCGTGTTCACATATGCCCAAACGAACCGAGCTAAGGGGGGAAACGCGCCAGGTTCCGAAACAACAGGCCAGGTGTGAAAGCACCCTAATACGCTCAGATCCGAAGTTTGATTCGAAACACCCATGTCACGTGACTAAGGCGAATCAAAGCATCGGGGCGTTTCACAAGTGTTTCTAGACCTGAATCTGCTTTTGATCATCGACAGGGTCAGGAACAAACCACACAATCGCACATACCTTAACCTAACTCCCGCAAATTATAAAAGTGGAGTTAATGCAGCAGAACAATTAATATATTTAAATAAAAATCTTTAAAAAAAATGCCAGCCTTTGTGGCTTGATGTCTTTTATTGATTTTTTGATGACCAAAACAACATTCACAAAGAGTTCATTCGGTTGTCAGAGAGATGTTACAACACATTACAAGAACAGAACAATAAAAACAACTTTTAAAATATTTATTATAATTATATACATGCTTCACCCGGGATTTGAACTTAAACTGACAAGTTCTAACAACATGCCAATCCTGCATGCTAACCACTCCCCCAACCAAAACAACAAGCACAACATACAGTATTGTAGCATGTTCAAAATGTTGTTGTGTTATAGATAACAATGTGCTTAATGTTAGTGTTGCACAATTTTTGTGTTGCGAACTGTTATTGGATGTTCGAGAGGGATGTGAAAAGAGGCTCTGCCCCTGGAAACGGAGAGAAGGAGGGGGGAAAAGAGTGCCTCTCTGGTTCAAGTGCAGTTTTCTTATGGCGCTTTTCCACTGCGTGGTACGACTCGGCTCGGTTCGGCTCGGTTTGCGTTTCCACTGCAGTTTAGTACCGCTTTAGAGTGGGCGGGATTATTCACATGTCGTTATAGTTGCGCCGCCTCTACTGCCGCGACTCCTAAAAAACTTTTTCATTCTGCGTCGCCCCATCAAGCTCTCGCTGGATCCGCTCCTCTGCTATCAACGAGAGGAACGTCTGTACAAGGGGAATTCCGAATTACTGATGACTCGTTTAGGTTGTTCAGAGTCGATTCTTTCTTTTGGGAGACAGTAACTTTATTTATTGTGCACTTTTGGCTTTACAACTTTGAAGATCATTTACATTCACATACAGCTACACTACACACTGCATGAAAGGCAATATTTGAAATGGCATTATAGGGGCACTTAAAAAAAAAGGATCAGCTCTCCCACTACAGCTGTTATTATACTCATCTGATGAGACGTTTTACAAATTTAATGTATCTGTGATTATTAAACATTTATTAAAAGTGGTGTTTCTGATTAGAAAATAAGCCCCATATAGACATCTTACTATTACTGATTCGTCATGTGATATGACAAAATAATTTCTGTATAATTTAATACATTAGGTGACACAGTTTCACCGTTGAGTGTCTATTAAATCCAAACACAGCATAGAGTGGCTGAGTGAATGTGGTCTGGACTCTGTGGATGAGACTCATTGTGTTTGAGACGCTGTAGAAGGACAAAATTCCTGTACTGTGATTTACATACACTCCTATTCTATTGGAGACACTGGTTACAGGAAGGACGGTCTCAATTTTATTGTGACAGAATGCGCAACAGTCCGCAGAGCAGTACAAACTCCAGGACTGATTATTAAACCCAGCTACACATTCAGGACCATTTCCCTTCCTGCTGATGCTCTTATACGTTACTGCAATATCTATATCAGAGCTCCACTCCACCTCCCAGTAGCAGCATCCAGTCACACTCTCTCTACACAACGCCTCCATCCAAATATTAAATCTGTCTGGATGATCGGGATAACACTGATGTGTGTCAGTGACAGTGATCCTCGTGTTTCCCTCCGAAAGATTGAGCTTATTATGGATTGAGTTCAGATCTACAGTCAACAGACGAGAATCTGATGGAGATAAACACAGAATTGTTCATGATCTTTAACTAATATAGCACATTTGCAAGGTATATTATTGTTTATAATAATAAAGTTTAATTTTCCTTTTCTTTAATTTTTTTAAAAAATGTGTCTCCCTGAATAGTAAAATCTTCAATGAAACTTCACTCCATTTCAACATATGAAGTAGAATTTCATTTAGGACTGCAACACATCTATGTTAAACGTGTGCAAAAATGGTATAAACTAATTATTTAATAGGTAACATAGTATGGTATCTGGGGCAGTACGCCTTCAAAAAGTAATAAGTACATTTAAAGTACTAATATGCACCCCTTAGGGGTAAATAAGGTAGAAAGGTATACCTTTTGAAAAGTTACTGCCCCAGTGACAGCTTTTGTCTTTTTTTCTGAGTGTGTATGAACATAATGATGTGTTACCGTCAATTATTCTTCCTGTAGGTTAAAGAAAACCCACTTTTGCCTATTCATGATATAACTTTACTTGTGTTGCATTCATTTCAATTTGCAGTAGATTCAAAACCTGCCCATTCATCTCCATCAACAAATATTCAATCAAAACTGTTTAAAAATGATTGCACTTGGCCTCCTTTTTGCTCTACGGACAACAAAAGACATCTGCAGTTACTTCTCACAAAGAAATGTAACTACAAATATTTGAAAGAAATTTAACTACAACTATTTGAAAAGAAATTTAACTACAACTATTTGTATATTTGATGAATAATGCTGAACTCATTTCCGATAATGAATTATTATTTACCTTTTCTGTACATATTTTCAATAGTTTCTCTGGAGAAATGCAGCAGTTTGTCTCTGAGTTGAGAGATTGACTTCTCTACATCGTCAAAAGACAGATGAGGAGCGACAATGTCAAAGAAAGAGATAGACTGCAAAAACTACAGAGACAAATACAAAAATATAAGCTCTCTGTCAATAGATAAGTCTGTTGAAGTCCTCATTTCTGTGTATGAAAATATTTTTGTTACCTGAAAGAATTGAATATGATCCTGTGTTTCAAAAAGCTGCTTCAGCTCAGTGTCTGTTCTCTTCATATTATCTATCCTCTGCTCCAGTCGCTCCAGTTGTTTTTCAGCTCGACTCTCTGCAGCTCTTTCCTGATCTCTGATCCGCTGTGTCACCTCAGAGCGACGTTTCTCAATGGAGCGGATGAGTTCAGTGAAGATCCTCTCACTGTCCTCCACTGCTGTCTGTGCAAAGCGCTGTTAGACACACATAGACACACTATTTACTGCACAATTACTCAACTATGCCATAAATTGGCTTATGAAAAACTAATTTTTTAATGAAAAAATCACTTAAATGATGACCTAAATTAAATATAACAGGTTTCTAGATATTGGCCCATGTGTTAGGGATAGAATACTGCCATCTGCAGGTTAGAAGAAAAACTTTAGGAATTACAGTTAAAGAAAGAAAGTGCAATGACCACATATATCCAGCAGAGGTCCATAGGGACTCATTCATTTTTCAGTTCAGTTTCAAGTCCATTTTTCTTCATGGTTCAACTTCTCCTGGCAACTTTATGATATATATTTTGTGAATATATATTTAAATATTCTAAAATGTATTAAAAATCTATATTTTTGTCAAAGGTTATAATTTGTTCTTTTCCTAAATAATCTATCTAAACACAAACAAAAAATCTGGACTTGATTTGGTTGTTCTAAACGTGTGCAAAAAAAATAAATAAAAAATTACCGTTCAAGGTCCTTGGGGTCAGATTGACCCCACTTTGAAAATTAATGGGAAAAGTGAAAAAAGGTTGTTGTTTTTTTAGTTTCATTTGTCAAAAAAAGTAGTAAACCCAGTATAAATCTGGAATGTTTTACATTTTTATAAAGGCCTGGATCTAGAGCACAAATGCAAATTGGAACAAACATTCTATCTCATGCACACACACACAAACACACGCATGTGTGTGACTGCAATAGAGAGTATTTTTATAGAAATTGGCATATAAAATCAGCAAATCTGGCATAAATATGAACATTTCCACTCATAAATGAAGGACTGGTACGAGAGCACAAATGCAACATGGAACAAGCATGTTCACTCATTCACTCACTCACTCACACAGGTTTGTTTTTGTTAAAAGTGGGGACATCCCATAGGCGTAATGGTTTTTCTACTGTACAGACCGTACACACACACACACACACACACACACACACACCGGTGTGACATAGGTGTCCAGGGCATTTTTTAGATTTTGGCAAATAAAATGCACAAAACATAAATGCACAACAATGTGAAGGGGTAGACATAACACACACCACACACAGAGGGAGAGAGGGACATTTCTGCAAATTTATGTGACATAATTTGCATAAGCAGACAATTCAAAAGACATCAGACAACAAGTCACAGAATTTCATGCCCCTGAGATGAAGGGAACACTTTAAAAAAATTAAGGAAAATTCAAATGGGGTCAGCTGGACCCCAAGGGCTGATTAAGGGTTAAACCACACTATATTAATTTGTCTGGTCAGAGGAGAACTGGCCGCCCGACTGAGACTGGTTTCTCCCAAGGTTTTTTTCTCCATTTCTGTCCCCGATTGAGTTTGGGTACCTTGACACTCTCACCTTTACCTAGCTTAGTTGGGGACACTTAAAATTTGGCAATATTACCAAATTAACTATACTGATACTATTAGATGAAAACTAAACTGAGCTGGATGATGACATCACTGTTTTCTCTACATGACACTATGTATCATATAGAAAAAAATCTGTTTTACTGCAGAATTGATCTCTGTTTGCATCTTGTTTATCACTGTAAACTGCTTTGAAACAATCTGTATTGCATAAAGCACAATATAAATCAAGGTAACTTGACTTGACATTACAGTCAGTCAGTGAGTCACAGTAGCTGCTTTTCCACTGTTGGGCCAGTTCGAGCCAGGGCTAATAATGGGCCGGGCGGCAGGGTTGCCGGGTCTGTGTAAAAAGAAAGAAAAACAAAAAACAGCCCGTTTGCTATTCAAAAATAGGACAAAACTAGCCCAGTTGCATTTTTCCCCCTGTGGTTTTCCCCTCCATCAAAATGCATTCTAGGGGGTGGGGACGAGATCATTTCACAACTCGTGTCAACATTGTAAACGTTGCCTAATTTGGCAACAATGCGGGGCAGGACCAATAGCCTTGGACCTCGACCCAACCTTAACCTGTCTCCATAGAAGAATGTCACACAACCAGGGGAAGCTGATAAAACTACCTAGATCAGAAAACGAATATGACAGAACCGGACGTTTGGTTTTTACATAGACTTAAGACTCCAACATCGATATTTGACTAATGTATGTATAATGTATAAATGTTACAATAACAATCATTTATTCATTTGTGTTTGTAATTTGTGTGCATTTATCAAATTAGTATTTATCGTTATTTCACATAAAAAGAGAACATGCATACTTGTTCAGTTGTGGCTACTCAATTTATCTGTGATCGAATGCACAAAACAACTCAATGAGGGTCCATTAAGTCCAAAGGCAGCTACATTAAAAAAATATATATATATTGATATATTTTCATGTTTTTGTCCCATTCCTTCAAAAAGAATAAGCATTTCTATTAATTTATCATGAAATTATGTGAACTGATGATGTTTGAGTGCTGTCTCCTCTCTCATTGTACAGTTATGCAGTCTCTGGTATTTTCATAACCATAATGTGTATTTACTATGGCAAAGGTTAGCAAATGTAGTCTTTAGCATTGCATATAAAAGAAGTTATCTTCTTCTCCAAACACACCTTATGAGACTCCATGGCCTCTCTCAGCTCCTGAAGATCTTTCTCTCTCTGCTGGATGTTTTTCTGGTTTTCTCTCTGTTCCTCTTTCATATTTCCCTGCAGAAAACAAAAGTATGATTAAATCTGCACTACCATTGATACGATGGGGTGAGTGAGATTTCTGAATGTTTTTAAAAGTCTCATGTATTCACTAAGGCATTTGGTCAAATGTAATTTATTTCTGTGATGAAATCTGATCTTCAGATCTTCAGAAATCATTCTAATATGCTGATTTGCTGCTCAAGAAATATTTCTTATTAATATATTCAGTAATACAACTTAAAACACAGTTAATTACATCTGTTTTCCTGATTGAGAGAAAAATCATATGCCAAATGAGGAGAGAAATGACCTTGACTGTCATGAGATCCAGTATGGAGCAGTACCTGTATCTCTTGCCTTGCTGCTGCAGTTGATTCCGTGTCATGATTTTTGTGTTCATCCACCAAACACAGCATACAGATACACTTTTTATCAGTCCAGCAGTAAATTTCCAGCATTTTATTATGTCGAGGGCAGATCATCTCCTGCAGTTGTCCAGTGGCGTCCATCAGATTGTGTCCTTTACTTCTGAAGAGACTCTCATGCTGTTCAAGATGATTTTGACAGTAAGAGCTTCGACACTCCAGACAGGATTTCACTGCTTTCTGTTTGATTCCAGTGCAGGAGTCACACTGAACATCTCCAGGTCCAGTGTGATGATGACGACGACGAGCAGGAACAGGAGGAGGAACAGGAGCAGATTGGAGTCTTGTATTCTTCAGTTTCTCCACCATTTCAGCAAATACCACATTTTTGCTTAAAACTGGTCTTGGAGTGAAGGTCTGTCTGCACTGAGGACATCTGTAGATCCCCCTCTGATCTTCCTGATTCCAGCAGTCTGTGATGCATCCCTTACAGTAACTGTGTCCACAGGGAATCGTCACTGGCTCCTTCAGGAGATCCAGACACACTGAACAGCTGAACTGATCCTCAGCCCACGAGATACTGGCTTCTGCCATTTCACTGTATATGAACACAGACAGAGAGACGATACGCACTGCAGCTCGGCAGTTCCTTCTTATATGAACTGGAGGGGTTATATATCCTCCTGATGACATACTTCAGAAACAGGTTTTTCTGCAGGGAGTGACTTTCTGCAACTTGCTAATTTCAGTGTTTTTTTTTCATGACTAGACTGAGACAATCTAGATGACTGTCTAGATGACAAAGTTGTCTAAAATACTAAAATACTCTGAATGGAATACGATTTATCTCTTTGCATACTGATTTCTGTACTTTAATAGTACTAGCCTCACCAACTTCACCAGAAAATAATAAAAAATCATGTTATAGTGATGTAACATGATTTGTATTACTGTATCGCGTACCTTGTCAGTGTCGTGCGCTTTGCTTGGCCATTTGTTGGGATAAACAGGAAAGTGTGTTCAAGCGCCAGCAAAACAGTGTAAAGAAATACTCTTTGTGAGAAGCAGTAAATCAAGTTTTGAAATGTTGTTGTATGCATTTGTCATTTTTATTTTATTTATTTTATTTTATTAAATGTGTGTGTATATATATAGTATTTATAGCGTTTTAGCTTTTAGTTTTAATTACTTTTTCTTATTTGTAAGTCGCTTTGGATAAAAGCGTCTGCTAAATGACTAAAAGTAAAGTAAAAGTATTATTTTCTGGTGAAGTTGGTGACTGAGCAAGACTGAGACTGCAGCAAACATGAGAGATTCACTGTTGTCCAATACATTGATTCTTCATATACATGATGAATATATCAACTATAGCAGTGGTTTCTAAACCTTTTTTGGGCCAGCGCACCCTTACCCATTATCCAGACACCCCTCCCCCCACCCCTAAACTGAATATTAAAGTTGATTATTACTTTCTGTTTATAATGAGGACAATTATTATATTTACAGTACCATTCAAATGTTTGGGTCATTACAAAATTGCTACTCTAATTCAAGGATCTCATAAAATGAACAAAAAAGACAGTGCAGTAGTTTTTTATAGTAAATTATTTGACAATGAGTGTAATAACATTCTTTTACAGAGTTTTTAAGCATGATGGGGATTCTCAGCGCTACAGCTTTAGTGATGCTGAGGTTTCTTTCACATTCTTTTTGACACACTCTGTTGTCCCAAAGGTTCAAAAGAACTGTTAAAAAATCATTTTTAGAATATATCCACAAAGGAATTTTACAGAATAGATTTCAGATCGTTCTTCCTTTCCTGGAAATCTGCTGTGATTTTATCTCCATTTTTTGGAGTGGGTGTTTTCAATGAGCTTTCAGTGAAAAATAATGTTTATTCCTTAGTTTTAGAAAATACAGTTAATAAGTATTATTAGTATAGATAGTAGTATAGTATAGTATAGTATGGATAAGAATATGTTGAATTCCCTGTTTTCTGACCTAGTGAACATGGTGAAGGATCTGAGGATCCTCAAATGCAAATTGTTTGTGTTGCATCAAGAGAGCAATAATACATTTGTGTTATGTTTTTATTTTTCTTGTTTTTATAAATTTATAATAATTTATTCATATAATCATAAATAATCAGTAGCCATTTAAATAATTTATAATTTGATTATTTTTATTATTTATCATTTATATCATTTTAATTATTTTATGATTTATAAATTTATTGACTTATTATTTTAGTATGGTTTCATATTTGATATTTCTTATTTTTATTGCTTATGCATTTTCATTATTGTTTAATCTTATGATTGTGGGGTTTCATGAACTTTGTCTGTATGTATAAATAAGAGATAAGGGAATGTTTATGGAAACTCAATGTTTATGGGATGTTGTGAATCAGTTTGGTAAAACACTGCTTGTTGAATTTGTTCTGATCAATAAGCTCCTTTTTTACAATCATCTCTTTGTCTCCTGCTTCTGCTCTTCTCTGGCTTTACTCAGTCAACTTCTTGGCTGATAGAAGTTAATACAGTTTTGGGTACCAAACAAGACTTAATGTTAATGGGTTTTGTACATTAACCTGGGAGGCAGTATACGGTTTCCTGTGTACTGTACTGAATGTTTTACATAATAAAATTATTACAATCACAAAATATGACTTATTAATCCAATGTCCACAGAAAGCCTGTGTAGGTCCCATCAAATAAATTACAGTTGCTCAAGTGACACCTGTAACTTAGGCTTTCCATGGACAAACATTTTTAAGCTAATTATGAATACTGATGAGCTGTAATGTGTGTTAACCTGTTATGCCATGTTCACTGAGTACTGTACATATTTTAATGAATAAAATATGACTCATAAATCCATTGTCCAGGGAAAGCCTTTGTAGGTCCTGTCAAATAAGTTACAGGTGGTCAAGTGACACCTTGACTGTTTGTGGTCATATAGGCTGCTAGGGGAACAAATAGGCAGTTCATGGTTGTTGTCCTTGAATTATCTGCGGTCAAATAGGCCATTTGTGGTCATTTCCCACTGTTATGGGGACAAATAGGCAGTTTGTGGTCATACAGGCAGTCAAGGGGATGAACAGGCTGTCCGTAGTCTGTGGGCAGGGCCCTGGAGACAGTGCTTAGATCGCCAGAGAACCAATAAGAAGTTGATGGTCATATAGGCTATCAGGGGATGTTTAGGTATGTGCATGTGGACGCACACCCTCAACCTATTTGACGCGCCTTGCAAAGGTGGGCTGTGAACAGGAGCCTGCCACCAGCCACCCTGTGGCCGACCCCCAGATTGGAACAAAAAATGCTAAATGAGAGGGCAGCTTTGTCGTTGTTCTGGGCCTCTGGGTGTCCCAGGTCTTAGCCAACGCCTCTGGCCGCCCCCGTCAGGCCTCCCCTCGGCCCCTGCGTTGGAGGGGGGAAAAAATCATCTAGGGGGTGGCAATTAATCCAGAACTAATTTTTAATGAGCCAAAAAGAATGCACATCACACCTCTGTTTATCAATTTGCACTGGCTACCAGTAGCTGCTCGCATAAAATTCAAGGCATTAATGTTTGCCTACAAAACCACCACTGGCTCTGCACCCCTTTACCTAAATTCATTATTTCAGACTTATGTGCACTCTAGAAGCTTGTGTTCTGCAAGTGAACGTCGCTTGATTGTGCCATCCCAAAGAGGCACAAAATCACTTTTATGGACTTTTAAATTAAATGTTCCCTCCTGGTGGAATGACCTGCCCAACTCAATCCGAGCAGCTGAGTCCTTAGCCATCTTTAAGAAAAATGCTAAAACATTTTGAACTGTGAGTTTGTGATGCTGCCATCAGGTAGGAGATTAAGAATTCCAAGATGTAGATTGAATCTGTACAATAATTCATTTATTCCTTCTGCAATTAAGTTATTAAATAACATTAGGTAAGGTTATTTATTTATTGATTACTTTTTTTTTTTAATGGTATGTGTTATTGTGTTGTGTATATATATATATATATATATATATATATAACTCTTTTACTACTATGTGTTGTATGTGATGTGGTGTTTGTAATTCTGAGCCTAAGACAAATTTCCCTCAGGGACAATAAAGTGTACCTTAACCTTAACCTTAAAAACACATCTCTTCCATCTTTATTTGACCCTCTAACTTTAGCACTCTCTATTCTAATTCTATTCTTTAAAAAAAATTAAAACTTTTAGACTTGCACTCCATTCATTTACTAACTGCTTGTTTTCTTAAAAAAAAACTAACACTAGCTTTCTAATATTTTTTATTCTATCTGTTTTCTTTTAATTTCTTATACAATTAACAAAATAAAAAAAGACCTCTAACACTAGCTTGCTCTATTCTATCTGTTTTATTTTTATTTATTATATAATTTTAAAAACCCTTGCTACGTGTACTGTGTTAAGCTAACTGAGGCTTGTTACAGCACTTGTATATCATTGCTCTTTTGTTGATTTTGATTGCTTCCATTGTCCTCCTTTGTAAGTCGCTTTGGATAAAAGTGTCTGCTAAATGACTAAATGTAATGTAAATATAATGTAGCCATAGGGGGGGAGGGCCAGCAGATGGCCCTCAAGTCCACAGCAGAGGCATGGCGAAGTCTGACCCAGGTGGAGCCCACTGCCTGAGGGAGCCCGGTGAGACCGAATGGCTGGTGGTCTATGCAGAATCAAGGGTGGAAGGAGCGCAGGCGCAGGAGTCAGAATGGCAGGACGAGTAGAGCAGAGCCATCTGAGGCCGGAAGCCAGGCCCGGATTGGCTAATCGGGAGCACCAGGAGAATTCCCAGTGGGCCTGTCTGTTTATTTGGCCACTAGGGACGGTCTTGTCATGCCACTGGGGTTGAAATATTGATGCCTGTATTTAAGGCATCAAAGAAGCGGGACAAACACAGTTTGTCCCGTATTCGCAGGAATACGCCATATGACCACCAGACCATATAAATAACAAATTTTCAATTGATAATTATTATCATTATCTTTATAATTATAATCATTATTTTTGCGCAAATCATTGTTTTATTTGTGAACGTAGCCATTCGAGGAAGGCTTTAAGACCAAGCGGGACTCGCGCTAATGGCAATTCACTTCACCGTTTGCGTTTTAATTCTGCCAAATCGGTTTGATCATGAGCCCAACAACCAGCAAGGCAGGAAAACATTCAATCTGCCTGAGGGAAGACATATTTCAGTATTGTATGTGAATGTTAAATAGAGGAAAATAAATACATTAAAAAAAATTAACTTCTAGTGTATTCTTAAACTTGGACCTCATTATATTGAAGTACAAATCCAAGCACCAAAAGCAGCCCACACTCTCGAAGATTTAATTGAAAAATATGCATTTTCATTCATTCATAGGCTATGGTTGCAATAATATTTTAGTTAAAAAATTTAAGTGCCATTGTTTAAAAAAATGCTTTATTGACTGACGTTTCATATACCTTTAGTTGTTATGCTTTTAAATTTCAATTCCATTTGTATGTATGTAAATTCACAGTATTATCACCTACTAAATTACTACACCACTTGTGCAGTCACAATTCTATAATGGTACAATTTACTCAGGCTGATGAAT